ACGCCTACCAGTATTACACAACTACCATTTGCAGCTCATTGCAGTCTGACACTTTATTCACTGTACCCCTTCCTTTTTCCAGACTGTCTAGAAAGTTATGCAAAAAGTTTCATCCTTAGGAAACACAAGTCTTTGCCGTACGATCAAAAGAAAAATGTTCACATAGTAGTAACCAACATCGTTCTGGCGTTCCTAAAAAAAACACTGCATTGCTTAGTAGCAAATAATCACGGTAGCGCAATCCGACCATGCTACATTTCACAATTATTATTATTACTTGGTAGTGATTATTAATAAAGTACAAAAAGTAAACTCGTTGAATTGTTCTGAAATGCAAGTAAATTTCAATTTAGTTTCATCGATTCCGGTCGCATGCAAATGCTCGACACCTTATAGGTCAAATCGCTAATTAGCCAGTCAAATACTCGGTGATGCCAACGTGTTCAAATTACCAAAACGGAGGAGATTTGCCGATGTTCCAGCTCCATCTTTTACCTCTGGTTTTGATGGGGAAGACAGCACGTTTTTTTTTGAAATCAAAACATTAGTTGTTTTCGATGATAAACTGACCATTTGAAGACTACTGTAGAATACTTTATTTTTGCTTGGAATTTATTTTCGCTATTTTCGCTGAAGGGATGATTCCGTGAAAATAAAATCCAGCGAATATACTTTTTTTCCTATATTTCATATTAAACTCATCAAAAATCAGTGAAAATAAATTCCAAGCAAAACGCCCAAAAAGCCTTTTCAGCGAAAATTAATTCCAGCGAAAATAAAGTAATCCACAGTAATTTAACATTTTTACGGCGATAGCAGCTAATTGTCGAGGCGAAGCTTTTCCCATTCGCGCTAACCACAATAAACATCGTAGTCTTGAATAGGCATCAATGACTACGGTAAAATTCGTAAGATTGTGGGTCAGGAGTGAGTGTTGTTTTGACTTGGGTATTGTGTTTTACATTCCAACAGGAAATTTTTGCGTGTTTTTATTTTCGTGCTTTGGGACTCACCGCGAAATTTGAACCACGCAAATGATTTCTACTTCTACATTTAATTTATTGCAATGGATATCCGAAAGCCCGTAACCTCATGTTATTGACATTGTTTACTGTCTTACATTGTCATGTCCCAGTGTTACTGATGGTTAGACCATGGAGGTGCTTAGACATAGACAAACTACGTAACAATAATGCTGTTTGTAAACCAACAAGCTTTTTAGATTGAATAAACATCTAGGGGATTTACATTTTCGTTTACTCAAACTGTGATTGACAGGAATTTTGCTTACATTAGCCACCATTTTAAACTCGTAATTTTCACTGGTCGCGGCACGTTTCGACCGAAAATAACAACATTTATACATCAAAAGCCCAACCAGACGAGTGTAATCGCTAGCGTACATATTCATGCCTCCGTGGATATGTATTTGGGATCACAGCTTGATCTCCAAACATCGTAAATGGCATATTTCACGGAGCACCCGCTACGATGTTAGCTGCTTGGTTCGGATTAGCATACTAATACGGTGGCCATCTTGACCCTTATTTATAGTATCGGTTCCCATTTAAAGTATACATACCTTCTAATATAAGTTGACATTATTAAGAGTAAAGTCATATTCGTAAAGTGGGGGAGTCGCCACCTCAGAATGCATCAGATGGCCATAGCGTGTCATTTTTTACAAACAAGCATCTATGTGTACCCATGAGCCTTTGCATTTTTAGCATGTGTTGTCGTCGCTCGGGACTCAATTTTCGTGCGTGCGCAGGTGACTATCCTCTCGCTTTAAACTTTT